TCCTGCAACACAGGGCAGCATCTTATCCATGCCCTACTTTGCAGCCTGGTTTACCAAGCACGGTGGTTGCCATGGTTACCGCAGTGCATGCAAATCTGTAGTCCAGGAGCAGCAGAGACTAGGAGTAGGGAATGGGCGGGGGTGGGGGGCTAGGGAAGGACAAAGGACAGGAGGTGAAAGAGAGAAGGGACATGGGCGGAGGGTGGGGCCGGAGAGGGTCGTACAGGTCCAGAAAGTGGTGAGGAGAATGGGAAGGGGTACGGAAATGAAGGGGAAGGCGCGTGGGGTGGGGGCACCTGCGTGCAGGAAGCCAGGGAAAAGCATCTGGTGGGTCCATTATTCCTTTGGCCAGGCTTACCCGTCAGCCTGGTCCTTCGGCTCCGCCATCTCTCGTTGCTAGGCGACGCCATCAACATCCGGCGAGGTCTGGACCACGCGCTCAAAGACCGCAGGAGGCGGGGCCTGGCTGCGTCCTGCAGTTCTCACAGAAGCATCATGCAAACGCAGTAACGCACAAATGTGTGTTTTGTCCATCGCCATGTGTTCGAGCCTTTCACGGACCGACTTGGTTTCTGTGGAGTGACGACAGAGCTAACGTGCATTCAACTGAGCACCTTCGAACCCGATGATGGTCAGGGGCTCCGAGGGTGGCATGCAGGGTGGGGATGCTGGGTCCCGAAGCTCGCCTGCTCTGGCTCTTGCACCTCCAGCCTTGGAGCACTCAGGAACCCTGACCACGGGGACCTTTCAAGGGGTCGTTGGCAGAGGAGGGAGGCTCAGTGTCCTATGGTGGGCGTCGTTCCTTCTTACCCCAAATTAGAGAAATAGGAACGCAGGGGGGTGAGCGCCTACGCCGGCACTGGAAGGCCCTGCCTCTCGGGCCGAGGGCGCAGGGCTCCAGTTCAGGGCGGCGTCTTGGGTACCCGGCGCGCAGCGTGAGCAGCAGGTGCAGACAGCAGGGAACCCTGAGCCGGGGCCGTCCGCTGCGCGGGGCTCCCGGGGGTTGGAGACTGGGCGCGGCGCTCCGGGGTGGGTGGGCCTGGGCGGGCCCTGGGGCGGAGCGGGGGCGGAGCGGGGGCTGGGCCTCTCCACCT